GCCACACACACACACACACACACACACACACACAGGCGTGGAAGAAGGGGAGGAACACTCACCTTCGGCAACGTTCTCCGAGGACGTCGAAGGCGGCGGCAGGTCATGGTACCAGAAGAATGAACTCTGCGGTGAGTTGAAGCAGTGGACACAACGTGGAGTGGAGCCCTGTTTTTTTGCGCGGAGGCCCGGAAAATCAAGGAGTTTGAATTCGAATTCTGAGGGCCTCCCCACTGGAGGGCATCCCAAGAAGATGCATCCAATGCAGAAGGGCAAAATGGACAGCCACCATGAGAAATGGGACCGGCCTACCAGTAGGGGCATTCCGAAAAGTTGTGCCCCTCACTGACAGGGGCCTTTTCGAAAGTTCAGAGGCCCCAGGGGCAAATCGGGGTAAGTCGGAGAGAGAGAGAGAGAGAGAGAGAGAGAGAGAGAAAGAGAGAGAGAGAGAGAGAGAGAGAGAGAGAGAGAGAGAGGCGTGGAAGAAGGGGAGGAACACTCACCTTCGGCAACGTTCTTCGAGGACGTCGAAGGCGGCGACAGGTCGCGGTACCAGAAGAATGAACTCTGCGGTGAATTGAAGCAGTGGGCACAACGTGGAGTGGAGCCCTGTTTTTTTGCCCAGAGGCCCGGAAAATCAAGGAGTTTGAATTCGAATTTTGAGGGCCTCCCTGCTGGAGGGCATCCCAGGAAGACGCATCCAATGCAGAAGGGCAAAATGGACAGCCACCACGGGAAATGGGACCGGCCTACCGGTAGGGGCATTCCGAAAAGTTGTGCCCCTCACTGACAGGGGCCTTTTCGAAAGTTCAGAGGCCCCAGGGGCAAATCGGGGTAAGTCGGTCGTTGGAGGGGCGAATCGCAAATAAACGCAAACTTCAGGGGCATTTCGAAAATTTTCCCAAAGGAAAAACACTTCCAATCGAAAATTCCAAAAATCGTGATGGAGAAAAGGTAGATGAGGTTTTTTTCTTTTTTGGATTTTGTTGATGCCGGTGAAGAACACGGTGAAGATGATGATGATTAGGAAGATGACAGAATGACGATGCTGATCATGCTAAAGAGCAGCACCGACCCTTTGATTACAAACTATTAATGATGATTGATGCTGATGATGCTGACGCACAACGCCCTGTAATGACTACAGGGTGATGATGGTGGTGATGACGCACAACGCCCTATGATGACATAAGGATGATGATGGTATTGATGACAAGCACCTTTGATGATAATCGTGATGATGATGATGATGATGATAATGATGATAACGCAACTGATGGTGTTGATGATGAGACCTTTGATGATAGTACCCTAATGATGATGATGGTGGTGACGAGCGGCACCCTGATGATGATAACGAAACATTACTGTGATGACGATGTCGATGATGATGATGAACCACGGTCTGTTGATGATGTGATGATGACGAGCAGCACCCTGATGATGATGATGCTAGCAAACCTTGATGATGAAGCCTTGATGATGATGATGACGAACATCAGCTTGATGACGAACTGCGCCCCTGATAGCCTCGTTGTTATGGCGATAACCGTGTTGATTGTACTTGATAACACGTCCAAGTTGCGCCCCTGAAGACGAAAGCAGCGGGGTGATGTCGAATCGCGACCTACCTATGTTGCACGCTGGTCGCGGCCGAATGCGGCCCAGGCCGCGGCCGGCGCCCCCGGCCGCGGCCGATCCGGCCGAGTTTTTTCAGCCTCGGCCTCCACCGATCTGGGGGGCGGTTTTCGAAGCGGGGAGCGGGTTTGAGGTGGGGGGGTGGGGGGGCACCCCCTCACAGTGTCAGAGCGTCAAAAAAATAAAAAATGGGGGGGTCCTGCACATGGCCCTGGGAGGGTGGGTCGCAAAAATTTGTGCGTCCCCCGCGTGCGGGTTCGTCGATGCGGAGTCGCAGGAAAGAGGGTCTGGAACACTAGAAAAATAAAAATAAAAAATTTGACCCCTGCGGGGGCAGCCCATGCGGCCAGGTCGGGTCGAAGCTGGACGGGGCTGCAGATGGCAATCGATTTCATTCGTGACATATTTAGAAACAACACATTCATGGCAATCATAAGTCAGACCTTGGTTGGCATACCAAAGTCACAACACATTCACAATCAATCACAGTGCGGCCAACCATAAGTTTCAAACAATGTTAACAGGCAAGTGTGTCATAGACTCATAGAGTGTGTTCACTCATCAGACTGGTGGAAGTTTGTGTAAGAACACATTCATTAGCACATCATCCCTATTTGGCATCCGAAATTAACAGCACATTCATAATTGAGGCATCCATGACATGGAGGTGCGTGGCATGAGAGAAACACATAATTTGCAACAATCACGACAACAAACCAGAAACCACTCACCAAACAACGACGACTCAGATGCAAGACCAATGTTGGTAGAGGAACACGAAGAAGAGCAAATATATGACAAAGCATTTCAATGGAAATGCGTATGTGCAAGGCTGAAGCAAAAAACTCGACCCGTCGTCTCTACTGTACAACCGAGTAGCAAAAAAAAAATTGGACCCTACTGACAAAGCATTGCAATGGAAATGTGTATGCACAAGGCTGAAGCCAAAAACTGGACCCGTTCTCTCTACTGTACAACCGAGTAGCAAAAAAAAAAAAAAAAAAAACTAATGTCCACATACTGTCGTCGTCTCCATGGAATAACATCGACATAAATATGCAACAACCCTGCCGACAGAGCGTCCAGGCTATACAACCATGAAAAAAACAAAAAAAACTAACGAAAAAAAAACAAACCACGGACGTCGTCATCTCCCTTCAGAGCACGCACGACCTCTCCCGGAGGACGGGTGGCCATGCGGTCCTCCCCGTCGCCCTCCTCTCCCTCCGGCACCTGTGCCCCGTGCTCCGCTGAGGTATGCCGCCTGTGCTGCAGCGGCTGCCACGGCCACCGCTGCCCTGTGTCTGCGAGCCACAGTCTCGATCAGCTCGGACTCTGTGTCTGCGTCCTCGTCCTCCGCCGCCCGTGCAGCAATCCCCGTCTCTCTCTCCCTCTGAATCGCGTCCAATGTTACCTGGCCAGCGGCGACCCCTGCCGCGAGTCGAGCCTCAACCTCCGAGAGGCCACACTGTCATCTTGTCCCGGGACGCACGAAACCCCTCCTCGCCCGATGTGAACTGCTTTCCCCGCAGCATGTCCGCGGATGTCCCTGCGGCCTCAAGGACCAATGATCTCCTCGTCTCCGCTCGTGACAAACCGAGCATGCGGCCTGCCATCTACAGGCTCGGACGTCCGGACCCACCCTCCGCAGCCTGCTTCTGAACTGGCGTGCGTCCCGTGAAGACGCCCCTCCCGGCGTTGTAATCCGCCCGCAACCGATCCCCGACCCGACGAACAACTGACCATCCGCCACCCACACCACCTCGGACTGTCGGCGGGGAACCGCCACTGTGCGCAACTCCGGGTGTCGCCGTCTGGTCCCCGGCGTCGACCCCGGCCTCCGGAGTCTGTGCGGGCGGTGGAGGCATCGATCCTGCACTGTCTCTGCCGACGTCGCTGCGTCTGCCGGACCCCACCTCACCCGCTCCGGACTCCCTCCCTCTCACGCCGCTGAGCGACGAACCCAACCAGTGAGGGCTCTCCACCACGAACGGCGGCGGTGAATATACCCTCCCAGGGGCCCGCCTCTTGCCGCTCTTGCGGCTCATGTGTGCGAAAGGGTCATCCGTCAACGCTTGCGCCAAAGCGTCGACGTCGAAAAAAGCGTGCGCTGTGTCGACAGGGCGCAAGGGACGTACTGTGGGGTCCCTCAACACCAAGGCGAGCCTATACGCATCGTCCTCGGGACCGTGGTCGTCGTCATCATCTCCGTCCGGTCCATCGTTTCCCCCGACACCCACGGTGTCCCCATCTCCATCGGGTCCACCCTCTCCTCTGCCACACACAGCGGCACCCCGTCCCTCGTCACCCGCGGTCTCGCTGCCCCCACGCCCCCCACTCTGTGTGTCCATTCAACTCGCAACGGGATTTATTCAACTCCGTTGAACCCGTTGAACGGCCATGAGGCCCGAGTTGAATCCCCGTTGAACGGTATAACGGGGGCTTCCCGTTGAGTTCCGATCAACGGGTCGAGCCCAATGGGGCTCGGACACGTGGCGGGACACGTGTGGAACAAAAAAAAGTAAAAACGAAAAGTTGAAAAACTACCCTCTGTGTGTGTGTGTGTGTGTGTGTGTGTGTGTGTGTGTGTGTTCATGTGTATGTGTGTATGTGTATGTGTGTGTGCGTGTGTTGGAGGATACAGAAACCGTATTGCCATCAAGCTCCGAAGTAATTCATCGGCATGCCCCCGTTATCCTCATCAGGCGAGCACAAGACTTCCTATGCCACATAACCCATTTCGTGGGAATCCCATGCGTGGACCATGGCCAGAACCTGTCCCCACGTCTGTGCAATCTGCCGGCCCAGAGACATATTCCTTACTTGGTGGGCGAGTAGAATTAGAGAGGTATATATTTTCAACTGATAATATCCCCCGATTTTAAGGTAGCGGGTGTGTGCATACGATCCAACCTGGATGGGGGCATAGGACTCGTCAGTGTTCCCCAATCAGCCTCCATACAATGCTTTGATGGATTCCATGCTCGTAATCAGGGGTGCTCGTGCTTCGTTGCTCCGTCCAAGGGGAATTGTCACGTGGACGGGTACGGAGCGCAAGCACGTTCCTGCGTTGGACAGAACCTCGGGGGATAAGATAGCAAGCGCATATAATCGATCGTATACAGTCCTATAACTATTGCTCGTTATACCGTCCTATTATGGATTCTAATGTCCCTAAGCAGGAGTGTTCGTGCTTCGTTGTTTTGTCCATGGGAAGATGCCACATGGACGGGTACGGCGCGAGCATATTCTTGCGTTAGAAACGGTCGTCAGGGCATAAGATAATAAGTGCTTATGATCGATCACATATAATTTAATTAAGAATTCGCCCCAGTAGGGGGGTGGGATTCGTTAAGACTCATTATGCAACCTCTGTTTAATACTTCTATAGATCCCATACCCAAAGGCAGGGGTGCTCGTGCTGCGTCACTCCATCCGTGGGATAGTGCCACGTGGACGGGTACGGAGCACAACCGCGTTCCTGCTTTTCGGGAGAAAAGCCTCCTTCTGGAAATAGTTATTCGACTCGAGTTGGACAGGATCTGTTGGTGACGTTTGTCAGCGCAGATCAGTCCGACTGGCCTGGTATATTTCAATAGCATACTTTAATACTTTATCAGGCGTGGGTAATATTTTCCCTATCTGGTGCGAGTCGTCGGGAAAGAACGTATAAACTCCCTGTCAATCATTCATGGTCTTGTTGTACTCAATTCATGCTAGATAGTTTGTCATAAATAAGCAATAGGCCATGCGATCGGGAAATTACTGTGGTTTCATTGGTAAAGTAGGGGAGCGAACCGCCCATCAATCCACTTCGCTTATTGGCGGAGTCAGTCCTTTGAAACAGAAAAATCCGGGAATCTGAGGATACATGCAAGTGTGCAAAACAACAACTATCGGCGCACAAGGTTTCTACTCAAGTGGCGTAGTAGAAAGAAGATGTGATCCCAAACATGATTCGGGCCCATTCATGCATTACCAAGTGACCCTGTTGCATAGATGCCCCTTATTTCGACCATATGACGAATACATGGAGGTTTTTGGTAATCAAGATATATGATCAAGAGCAATCGGTGTCGTTCATCATAGTATCCAATCCATTCGCCGGTACGTGGATGGATATTATGTCTGAAGGCAGTCGGGCTCCCTTTAGAGTTAGTACAAATATATATAAAAATATAGATCATGCATCGTAATTATCACATCCATCAACAAACCGATCATAGTGGCGGAGATAGAGATTTACGAAATGAACGAACCCACTCATAGAGAAAATGCCAATCACACAATCAACTTCCTCCATATATCAAAGAATGAACTCTTCCCTGGCTAGATGGCTGAAATGTCGCTTCACCTCCTTCCATCTTATTTAACAGAACACAAGACCCGAAGACTTCATACAGAAGAATGAACATGAAAAGACTAGTTGTATCCCCTGAAGCAGTTCCGCGTAATATGGAAGCACTGCCACGACAGCTAAAGCAGGGAGGGTAGTGGCGATCCCTGAAGCGCTTTTCTGCCGCTAGCCACTAATGCACGGCTTCATTAGAGGGAACACCTGCTTTCAAATCACACATGCTTCGGGAGTCGGAGCGGCGAAGGAGGCGGCATAGCTTGCAAGTGGTGCAAGAAGGCAAGGAAGGAAAGAAAAGCAAATAACGCGACAAAAGCGAGCAGCACATAGGCATACATTTCGATAGCAACCCCCATCTTCTCATCCGTCCCCTCTCTGTTCAGCGCCATTGACCCTAGCTCGACCAGTCTGCAAATTGCCCACCGCAGAATTTGAAAAGGAAAAAAGACGAGCATTATCAGCAGCTAAAAGCCTTCGCGTGTAATGTAAGAGCAGCGTGAAAGAATGGAGGATCGCATGCGTGGTGCAAAAAAAGTGAGGGAGAAGAAGCTTATAACCTGTCCTCTTCGTCGTCGATCATTCGATCCAGTAGCTCCTGATCCACTTGGTAGTCCATAGCGAAGGAAGCCGTGAAGCATTGTCTCCCCGATACAGGGCTCAAAACGCCTTCTGCCCGAACCCCTGTCAACTGGAATGCCTGCCGTCGTTCGACCCGCAATCGTGAATTACGGCCGAGCGGAAAGCCTGTGCGCTGCTTCGATGATGGGAGTCTGAGGGATGTTCCACTTGCTGAAATAGTGCCCCATCATCGTCACTTTCTGAGGGATATTGCCCGCGAACAATACAAGCGTCGTTGGTGACGTGAGGCGGGGGACTAAGCAGAAAAAAAATCACAATTCAAAAAAAGGGGAAGAAAAAAACAAAAAAACTAATGCAAACAAATAGCGAAAAGGTATCGAAGCAAGCATCGCTTGGCTGGGAGGATACGATCCGTATCACTCGTTTCCTGATTGTCCCTCCCCCATTTGGGCGAAACATCACTACAGGTGATCCGTGCACGGATTCGTCAAAAGGTAGAAAAAAAGAAGTAAAAAAGAAAAAAAAAATAAAAAAAAATAAGAAGAAAAAAAGAGAGAAAAGAAAAAAGAGAAAAGGACAAAAAGAGCGAGGAAAAAAATGCAGAAGAAAAGAAAAGAGAGAGAAAAAAAGCAAAGAAAAGAAGAAAAAAATCGAGAAAAAAAGAGAAGGAGGAAAGAAAGAAAAGTAAGGAAAAAAGGAAAAAATACAGGAAGCAAGGGGATAAACAGGGAAAGGAACGCGCGTGAATCGGTTTGATAGCATACGGGCTTCATCGATCGTTTTATTGTGCGCACGGGTTGTGCGCATGCCTGGACTTGGATTTGATGTTGGCTGTGAGCGTTCCTTTGGCCCATAACCGCAGCCCTTCGTATGTCTCTTGCTGTGTAATAAGCTCTGAGTGAAGCTGTGTTGTAACTGAGGCGCGTCGCCTAACAGGGCAAGCATCGTTGTCCTGTCTAATCTTTTATCAGGGTTCCTTTCCCTCATCCCTTCGCTTGTTTATTCATTCTTCATTTATTTCTCTTAATCGCTTTGTTCGGCATTTAATGCCCTTGCCGTCTGTCTCCTGTACTTGGTGCTTCTTCTTCATCCACCGCCGATCCTCGCTCCTCGTCCCCCTGTTATGTGTGTGTGTGTGTGTGTGTGTGTGTGTGTGTGTTTGTGCTCGTGATTGATTGAGGAGAGCAGCAGCGGGAGGGGGAGCGCAGCAGCGGGAGGGGGAGCGCAGCAGCGGG